GGAGGCGCGCGGTCTCCCGCAGGCTCGGGGTCGGTAGGCGGCGGCCGCGACGCCTCCCTCCCGCCACGTCGTCCCGGCCTCCCTTGGATCGCCGCGGCCGGGCGCCTTCACCAGGCCGCAGCCCAATGCACCTGAGAGCGGTTTCCATTTCCCCGACGCTCCCGGGTGCTAACGGGACCGTCCTGATGCATCTTCCCAGAGCTGTGCCCCCAGCCGCACTTGGCCTCATTGTGTGCATTTGAGCCCTGTGGTGGCGAGTGAATGTCAGCCCAGGACCCGAGCTTTCCTGTTGTTTGTAACACCGATTGCAGGAAACATACTTGGAACGGATTTGGGATCTGTCATTGCCTCCACAGTTTGGTTACCGCGCTACCGTGCAATAGATTTACCATGTGCCTAGAGTTCAGTTGGTGGAAATGCGTTTAAGTGTCAAGAAAGTTTCGTGATTGATACAGTCTGGCCTGTCCGTAAGGGCTGCGTTTTATTCTTACTTCCTGATATCCCCCAGGAAAAGCAATAACGCTTTCATTTGATGAATTTGCGATTCGTCCTATTAGTTTTGCCCCACTTTTTCTGCTCTCTTAGTTGCAGTGTTTTCTTGGTACTTTGAATTTGACACTACTGCATTTGAAAGTGAGTAATTTCCTTAGTGAAGCTCAGCTCTTTGCCTTATTTGATCGAGTTGCAGCTGTGGCTATCCGTGTACCTGCTTAGGGAGTCTTAGAAGCAGATAATGGGATAGAAAGGAGAAGCTACGTTGGCGTAGGAAGGCATGTCAAGTCCTGGAAATTTGCAGAATTAATGGTGTAAATGCTTTTAAAACACAAAAATTGAAGGTTTTATAATATCTGACTTAAAAAAATACCAATTTTGCAAAATCTGAATTTCCTTCCTGGATGAAGGAAGAAGAGACCCCCTAATAAACAGCTTTGTTGTGTTTCTGCCATAGTCTCAGCCCCTTAACCTCCTGGTGGCAGTCCTTTGAGAAATGACAGTGCTGGTAATCGAGGGCCTGTGGAAATCATGCCCCTCAGAAATACCCATAACCCTGATCGTCATTACCTTGTGAACACGGGAAACATGAAGTGGATCTAGGTTATCCAACACCCCGGGTGTCATTCGGGAAGTGTTCCCAGGATAGTGTTACATGCTGTTGCAGGGGTCTCCTGACAGACTGGGGAAGGTCTCTGACAGGTGGTCTCTCTTACATGTTATGCACATATAATTCTCTTGTGCATAGTTCTTGCCAAGTTTTGGTCGGTTGCAGTTTAATTCGGGGAGCTGTGCTGAAACCGAACTGTGGCTTATGCTACAGAACTGCTCCTATTTAAAGTGCTAGTGGAGCTCTTGGGTCACTTGGTAAAACTTGATACAGAGCACTCACTCACGTAAGAGGCTTGTCTTCATGTACACATTTTAACGTATTGAAAAGGTTTAACCAATAATTCAGTGGCCAAAGAACTTAAGAATAGGAAACTGTATGTGTTGAGTCGTCGACAGCTTCACCTCTCTTTCCCAACATCCCATTCCCCTACAGACAGCTACTTTTCAATATTTATACACCAAATTTTTAATTATTATTTTCACTTACGTGTGCATTCCTGCATGAGTTTATGCATGTCACTCTCATGCAGGGGTCCTTGGAGGTGAGAGGGAATCAGATTCCCCATAATTGGAATTTCACATGGTGTGAGCTTCCTTATGGGCCCTGGGAGCCAAACTGTGTCCTCTGCAGGAGCAGCAAGTGCCCCTAACCACTGAGCATCTCAGCCCCTAAACGGGGTCTTTATTAGGT